TTAAGGTTTGTCGCGATGTGGTTAATATATATTAGAAAAAGAACTGGGCCGAGGACTGACCCTTGGGGTACACCACTTTTGACGTATCTTGGTGCGCTGTACGCATCTTTGACGACCACTTGCATCGATCTGTCACATAGAAATTCTTTGAGCCACCTTAGAAGGTCTCCCCCGATGCCTATGTGCCCAAGCTTGTCTAGCAGAATATGGTGACAGACAACGTCAAATGCTTTTGCAAAGTCAAAGAGGATAAGATCAACTATTTTCCCTTTGTCGATCTCACTTGATATATACTCGTAAGTGGACAGAAGCTGGTCCTCCGTAGACATCCCTGGTCGAAAACCAAATTGGTGATCAATGAAGATGTTGTTTTCATTGAGGAAGATGTTCAAACCATTAGAGATCAGTCTTTCCAGGCATTTTGCGGGGACTGATGGCAAACAGATCGGCCGGTAGTTCAAAGGATCGACGTGAGACCCCTTCTTGAAGATTGGTACCACGATCGATAGCTTCCAGAGTGAGGGGAGTGATCCTTCTTCCAGTGAGAGATGAAATATCCTGGATAGAGGGCGAGCCAGGTGAGCTGCACACTCTTTCAGAAAACAGGGATGAAGACCGTCTGGGCCCATAGCAGAATTCACGTCGAGATCCATCAGCACCTTCTTCACCTCTGCAGAGTCGAAATCGACGGATTCAAGTGCTCCATCACACTGTTGGTGAGGTGCTGGGTGTGACGGCACTTCAGGTCGATACACACTGGCGAAAGCTTCGGCAAAACATTCTGCCATCTCAATTGGACTGTCAGTTGTGGTGCTGTCAGGAAGTCGAATTGGTCCTACTGAGGAGCGGAACTTCTTCTTGCTGCGGAGGTGAGCATGTAGCAGCTTTGGGTTCTCCTTCATCTTCAGAAGTAGCGACTTTTCATATTCCACCTGTGAGTAGAAAGTGAAGAGGTGAAGCTCCTTATTGATTCGCATAAATGAAGAGAGAAGATCTTGAGTGATGTGCGATTTACGACCATGTAGAGATCTAGCACGCTTGTATTGCTGCCATGCCCTGGTACGTCTCGTCTTGAGAGATGTCGGAGGATTAGTCTTCCAGGGGACTTTGCTCTTTGGTTTGTTGCGATTAGAAATGGGGATATATTGGCGTATCAGTGGCTGTAGGACTTGAAGGAGCCTGTTGAAGGCCTCTTCTGCGTTCAGGTGCGCAAGTTCAACATCCCAATCCACCTCGCTGAGGGCGTTGTTGATATTATTGTATTGTCCTTTGTGCCAGAGTATGTGACCAGGTGCGTGTGATGATGAGCAGATTTCTTTGTCGAATGTGTACTGACAGTGGATACTGCAGTGGTCACAGCCAGGTGGTGGGGGCCTCACCTCTACTTCATTTATCCTGTCTGATTCTGTTGTCAAAATCAAGTCCAGTATGTTCCCTGATCGGGGAAATGTTGCCTCATGGATCCACTGGGTGAGTCCAAGCGTGTCAAACAAGTCCAAAAACTTCGAGTCTGATGAAGAGATGGGCTTCATAGAATCAAGTGACCAAGTGATGGTCGGTAGATTCAAATCTCCAATGAGAATGAGTTCTTTGCCAGTACATATTTGACGCAGGAATGCCATTAGCATGTCATTCTGTTCCGGTGAGTTCGAGGGTGGCCTGTATACTGCAACCACATGCAATTCCAGGGCGGACAGATGAAATATGATGACATTGGGGTAAGATGAATCAACATCCTCGACTTGAAGTGTTTCAGAGATGTATGCGCAAACACCGTGTATACTTGAGCCCCCACTATCATTGCGCAGAAGTGAATAACCAGGTATTCTTACAACAGCATCTCCAACGTCTGGAGTTAGGTGAGTTTCTGATATTAGCAGTATGTCAGTAGTATCATGCATATTGAGGATGTGTTGAAGAACGTTTAACCCTATTCCTGGCGGGCTCCGCCGGGACAAGAAACTGGCGGGGGGGGGCCGATTCGGCCCCCCCCCCTGAGATCTCGAGAACGAAGCAAGATAGCGACAAGCGGTAAACGGCATCGGATACGCACGGCCAAGATCTACAATTTTTACTAAGGTCATTTTCAGGTCAGGTCAAAGATGACGTCACAGGGGTCGAAAAAGTCAAAATGGCGGCACTAGATATGGAGAGAGTTTTTCTCGAATAACTTTCGAATTAGTCAAGATAGGAACAAACTATGGGCATCATCGTGATCCTCTCGTTAATCCGCATCGAATGATATATATGTTGACCTCGAAAGGTCAAGGTCAAAGGTTGACCTCAGGTCACGTGACCTCGAGGTCATCATGTATATCATTCGATGCGTCTTGACGAGCTGAACACAATGAGACCATCCACGCGTCTGTATCTTGTTCCTGTACGGAGTTATTGGCCAAAAACCTTTGGTGACCTTTGATGACGTCACATGACCTCACAGCTGCCCAACAGCAAAACAGACCTCAAGGTAGTGAAGGTTGATCGTATATGAAGTCATGTATGGTATATGGGGCCATTCCGACCCGTTTTAGTGGTAAAAACAGGGAGTTGATTTTTCCCCCATTGACTTATAATGGGGAGGTCGCGAAATTGACCTGACCTTAGGTCACCGATATCAAAATTCCGAGATATACAAATTGCACATACTGATACCCTAACTAAACCCTGAAGAGAAGAAATTGATCGGTCAAAAACTCTAGCTCTGGCGTGATTGCAAACTTTTCTGAGGTAGCGTCACCAAACCGCCTCTGGTGACCTGACCTGAGGTCAGATCAACTCAAAATTTTCAGACATGTTGCGTAGAAGCCTTTTAGGAAAAGTCAGAAAATTTGAGCTTCCTAGCTCAACGCGTTTGGGAGATATAACCAAAAAACCTCAGGGGGGGGCTCCTGAGGCCCCCCCCCGCCAGGAATAGGGTTAACTTGGTGCACAGGCCATTTACATTACAATGTGCAAAGTTTAAAACTTGAGTGTGGCTAGTTTGGCCATGCCATCTCAGTTTCCCGAGTTCCTGGGTGGGCTGTTACTTCGAGGGGGGTCTGGCTGAGTGGGAGCCGCTTGACAGGCTTCAGTGGCCGTGATCCCTTGGTCCCTTGGTGGACGGGGAGGGGGGCCCGTTTCGAGCTGTTTCGGAACAGTTTCTTCTGTACTTGAATGCTCACCAGGTGTCTCTGATGGCTCAGTATCTGGTTGGTGTTGAGCGTTGGGCATGTTTGACACTGTTGTTGTACCACCAACTGTTGGATGTTGGGCTTGGCGGGGTGCTGTCTGGTGCCACTCACTCTGCCGTGGCCGAGTTGCCAGCCTATGTTGAAGCTCTTGACGCTGGGTATAGGTCAGATCTTTTCGGATGAATACATGTGAGTAAGAGGTGTACTTGAGTTCTCGTGCGTGTTCAAGTAACAGATTTCTTTGTCTGACGTTGTGGACGTTTCCCCGGTATAGATCTGCATCATTCTTGATTTGACATGCCTCAGAAAGCACAACTTTCTCACCTATCAGAAGCTCTGATATTTCGCCAAACTTGGCGGCTGCCTCAGCTGCAGTCTTAGCCCTGAGGCCCCTAATGACCAGAGAGTTTTGACGTTTCTTGCGTTCTTCTAGTTCTCGAAGCTCTTCGCGAACGACTCTACGGTAGTTATCTGTTGCTTGCTGAATCATCTGAGGTGCACCCTGAGAAGGGTAGCTACTATGTGTTTGTGGGGGGTGAGGTTGCAAGTGGGGCCCCCTTAGGTTCTCTGCGTATGTTGGGCCATCTCTTGCAGAGAGTGTTTGCTTCTCAGATGGGGGCAGGCTTCCTTGATCTGGAGCAGTGCCTGCTGTCAAATGATTTTTCACTGTCAGTTCAAGGTTGTCCACCTTCTTAATTAGTTCAGTTAGAAGGTCATTGTTTGCTGGCTGGAGTTGGTCCTGACAATTCTCTGTTTGCATAGCCGACTCACTCATGCAAGACCTGGGCTGAAGTTTGCCGAGATTTGGAAGTTTTCGGCATGAGTCACAGATAAATGACAGTACATCATATCTTCTCAGTGCATTGTAGGCAGCTTTGGCTATATCTTGGCAAAATGCATGAAACCAGTTTCCACAAAGATCGCATTGGACCCCTTGCTGGGAGTCTTTCACTTCCAGGTGGCATGTCAAGTTGCCTGGTCCGCCTGGACAAATGGAGGGGTTGAGATTGCCCCCATGGTTAGCGCGTACAACCGTAGGAGAAACACTGGTGCCAACATCAAGGGGTAGGAGGCCAATTGTATTAGCCACCATACTCACATGACCCGGGGACGGATTCTGGTTTATTGGAGTTTTACCATTTGGGCGGGACCTTGGTGGTGTTCTGTTTAGTGGCATTTTGTGAGTAATGCAGGCTGTGCAGGCATGCAAGGTGCAGACAGGACCACGACAGGGAGACAGACAGGACCCAGTGCTCGGCGGCAGAGCAAGTACTCCCTGAACAGGCACAGAGCTTTGCAGAAGCTGATGAAGACCCAGGGACAGCTTTGCAGGGTCACTTGTTTGACCTTGTGTGACGTGCAGACTCATGCACTTCATGCAGCATGCATCAAAGCAATATTTACAGCAAGTTGAAGAGCACCTGATTTTACTCCCTTTGATGGTTCCTTATGAAGCTTTCAACTGAAGCTTCTACTGACATAAAATTACGTGGAAATGGCCTGGGATCTCCACTGGCATGATTATAACTCACCTATTATAACTAAAATCTAACTAAGTTTTCTATATCTAACTAAGTTTAAACCTTGCTTATAAACTTGACAGTAACATACAAATTTAGCTGTAAATTAATGGACAGAAGAACTTGCAAAAGTAGACAAAAAACAGCGCAAAAGAGTCAAAACTTCTGTTCAAAAAAAAGTCAAGCAGCGAATCACCTAGAAACTTGCTGGAAATTGGCCATGGTAGCGAATCGCCACGCAACCAACACATTTAGCTAATAAATGCTGACGAGCCCTAGTCATTGAACAGAATGATATTTATACGCATTACCCCGGCTTTGAACTCTGCGAGCGTCGTGGCGGAAGAGAAAGAAAAGCCGAATTTTCGATTGGCTGTGTTAAATATTGCAAAATGACTTTTTATCATTTTGTTAACTGTTTTGCTTTGGCATATGTGCCACATTTCTTCACGTACAAATACTCAAAACTGTGAGTGGAATAAAGTATTGTGCCTTGGGTGTGCCGAACCATTACACCGTGACCCGGGCGTTCCGCCACCGTGGGGCCGCGGGTGCCTACCTACTTTGGTACCTACTGCCTCCCATCATTTAGTTTTCGTATGTTTGAGGGTGTGCATTTTCGTGTCAAATCCCCAATGCTAAAACAGATTAAGATAGAGACAGGCTTAAACTACAAAAAATGATTATAAGAATGATTTTATACATTGCTCCGCCAGTTTTTGTGGCACCAGGTGACATCTGCTCTACTAATGCCAACTTCTGGCCCATGCAAAATATGTTGTACTAAATATGTACCTACCACATGATGGTGAATCATTAGGGTGCCTTGCATTGCACCAGCTTAGTACCTACCCTGGCACTGACAAGTGACAAGACCTCATTGGAATAGTCACATTTTGCAGCCTGACCTTGTTCTACTGTTGAATCTGTATCTTGAGCATGTCACATTTGTGCTGCTTAGCAGTGTTGAATCATATGATGATGCTCATTCCTGTGGTATCATTTTGCCTGTCAGGTCCGAGTATGGCGCCTTCTGGAAGTGTGTCCAGGCCGGGTTCACCTATGTGTTTGTCCAGCTGTGCAAGATGGTCCTGCTGGCGACCTTCTTCCCAGCTGCCGAGAGCACCCCAGACCAAGGGGTGGACCTGCTGGCAGTGAGTAGGGACAATGTTCACTCTTGTGCCTTGAGATTATATGCTTTGTGACAGGTGAGCTGGAGTAGGAAAATGAAGGAACAACTAGTGCACTTGGTTGAATTTGCTGTAAACGATTTGCAAACATACCTTTTCTGTGCATATTGTAGCCTGGGTGAACTTCAGGACTAGCGAATTGTATAAGTCGCCTTTTCATCTATATTATGAATTATAAGTCGTCCGTGCGTCCATCCGTGTGTCATGTCTTATGTGTCTTATTGCGCCTGAAAGGCGCCGCGTATCGACGTGAAATTTGGCATGCCCAATCTGTGGGCGTGGGCGGCCTTTGTATTAAAATTTGGGCGTGATCGGGCCAGGGGTGCGCCTTCAGCACGTGCAAAAGGGTGCTCTCATAGGCTTAACACGTGGCCGGCGAAAACCGCCAACGGGCGAAAATCGGGCCTGCAGCGCTCCTTTCCCGGGCTTATATCTCGGCAACCGTAAGTCGCAGCGACATGCGGTTTTCACTGATGGATACAAAAGAGATGGGTCTATCGTATGCAATAAGTTTTTTTCTTAGGTATGTACCACGTGCAAAGAAATAGCCTCTAATCTCGAGAAAACGGGCATTTTTTACACATTTCAGGAAAAACGTTGGCATTTAAAAACGATGCACTCGAATGACACGGGATGCATTTCACGGACTAAAGGAGGATCTGACCTTTTCAGAATACATATATTTTTGACCATTCACTTGCACATCTTTATAATTAAACGCTTACAAATTGCAAGTTTTACGCGTAAAAGGCATGGTCGTCTTTGCACCGTCATAATGCCTTGATAACGAAGAGTTATGGCTATAAATTTACCATAGAGTGAAAGAACACTCTTTTCTGATCAATATCCTCCCAAAATATTTTCAAAAAGTCATCAAGGGCTCTAAGAAACAGAACAATGATTATACCGTTTTCGACGCATTTTTACCGGTTGAGCGGCGGCGGCCGGGCTTGAACGCGGCACCGGCGCGGTAATATTACCGTGTGCTTGATATTTGTCTAATACTCGCCTTTCAGCCGCTGACGGCGCGGCCGAGTGGATAACATGCCAGTCTCCTAATCCGAAGGCGGATAGTTCGCGGCCAGTCAGCGACAAAGTTTTTCGCCCGAATCGTCCCTAGGTAGCATTCGGCCAGCCGGCAACCGCCGAGAGGGCTGCGAATGTTACATTTTAACGAGCTGGCGTACCGTTAGGGATCGACTCAGCAACAAAGCATTCTTACTCTCAGTTCAATATACCGAAAGCTGGCCATCTAGGGTATGAGTACTAAGTAGTGTATGGGCAGAGTAGGTATGGACAGGGTAGGGTATGGTTAGGTGACTGGTAGGATAGGGTAGAAGTTGGGTATGGGCCGGGTAGGGTATGGGCAGGGTAGGATAATGGCAGTGTTAGAGTATGGGCAGGGCAGGGTATGGGCAGGGCAGGGTATGGGCAGTGCAGAGTATGGTTAGGTGATGGGTAGGATAGGATAGAAGTTGGGTATGGGCAGGATTGGGTATGGGCAGGTAGGGTATGGTCAGGGTAGGGTATGGGTAAGGACCCAAATAATACAAGTAAAACGATTTTTAACCCAGCATAATGCATCCGTAAAACCAATTTAATCAAAACATAAAGTTATAGCGCAAAACATGCCATCTAGTCTATATTATGAATTATAAGTCGTCCGTGCGTCCATCCGTGTGTCATGTCTTATGTGTCTTATTGCGCCTGAAAGGCGCCGCGTATCGACGTGAAATTTGGCATGCCCAATCTGTGGGCGTGGGCGGCCTTTGTATTAAAATTTGGGCGTGATCGGGCCAGGGGTGCGCCTTCAGCACGTGCAAAAGGGTGCTCTCATAGGCTTAACACGTGGCCGGCGAAAACCGCCAACGGGCGAAAATCGGGCCTGCAGCGCTCCTTTCCCGGGCTTATATCTCGGCAACCGTAAGTCGCAGCGACATGCGGTTTTCACTGATGGATACAAAAGAGATGGGTCTATCGTATGCAATAAGTTTTTTTCTTAGGTATGTACCACGTGCAAAGAAATAGCCTCTAATCTCGAGAAAACGGGCATTTTTTACACATTTCAGGAAAAACGTTGGCATTTAAAAACGATGCACTCGAATGACACGGGATGCATTTCACGGACTAAAGGAGGATCTGACCTTTTCAGAATACATATATTTTTGACCATTCACTTGCACATCTTTATAATTAAACGCTTACAAATTGCAAGTTTTACGCGTAAAAGGCATGGTCGTCTTTGCACCGTCATAATGCCTTGATAACGAAGAGTTATGGCTATAAATTTACCATAGAGTGAAAGAACACTCTTTTCTGATCAATATCCTCCCAAAATATTTTCAAAAAGTCATCAAGGGCTCTAAGAAACAGAACAATGATTATACCGTTTTCGACGCATTTTTACCGGTTGAGCGGCGGCGGCCGGGCTTGAACGCGGCACCGGCGCGGTAATATTACCGTGTGCTTGATATTTGTCTAATACTCGCCTTTCAGCCGCTGACGGCGCGGCCGAGTGGATAACATGCCAGTCTCCTAATCCGAAGGCGGATAGTTCGCGGCCAGTCAGCGACAAAGTTTTTCGCCCGAATCGTCCCTAGGTAGCATTCGGCCAGCCGGCAACCGCCGAGAGGGCTGCGAATGTTACATTTTAACGAGCTGGCGTACCGTTAGGGATCGACTCAGCAACAAAGCATTCTTACTCTCAGTTCAATATACCGAAAGCTGGCCATCTAGGGTATGAGTACTAAGTAGTGTATGGGCAGAGTAGGTATGGACAGGGTAGGGTATGGTTAGGTGACTGGTAGGATAGGGTAGAAGTTGGGTATGGGCCGGGTAGGGTATGGGCAGGGTAGGATAATGGCAGTGTTAGAGTATGGGCAGGGCAGGGTATGGGCAGGGCAGGGTATGGGCAGTGCAGAGTATGGTTAGGTGATGGGTAGGATAGGATAGAAGTTGGGTATGGGCAGGATTGGGTATGGGCAGGTAGGGTATGGTCAGGGTAGGGTATGGGTAAGGACCCAAATAATACAAGTAAAACGATTTTTAACCCAGCATAATGCATCCGTAAAACCAATTTAATCAAAACATAAAGTTATAGCGCAAAACATGCCATCTAGTCTATATTATGATTTATAAGTTGTCTGTACGACTGTCATGCCTTATGTGTCTAATTGCGCGAGAACGGCGCGGCGTAGCGACTTGAAATTTGGCATGCCGAATCTGTGGGCGTGGGCGGCCTTTGTATTAAAATTTGGGGGTGATCGGCCCAGGGGTGCGCCGTCGGCACGTGCAAAAGGGTGCTCCCATAGGCTTAACACGTGGCCGGCGAAAACCGCCAACGGGCGAAAATCGGGCCTGCAGCGCTCCTTTCCCGAGCTTATATCTCGGCAACCGTAAGTCGCAGCCACATGCGGTTTTCACTGATGGATACAGAAGAGATGGGTCTATCGTATGCAATAAGTTTTGTTCTTAGGTATGTACCACGTACAAAGAAATAGCCTCTAATCTCGAGAAAGCGGGCATTTTTTACACATTTCAGGAAAAACGTTGGCATTTGAAAACGATGTATTGGAATGACACGGGATGCATTTCGCGGACTACAAGAGGATCTGAACTGTTCAGAAAATATATATTTTTGCCCATTCACTCGCACATCTTCATAATTAAACGCTTACAAATTGAGGGTTTGACGCGTTACGTTCATGCTCACTTTGCACCGTCATAATGTATTGATAACGTCGACTTATGGCTATAAATCTACCCCAGATCGAAAGAACACTCTTTTCTGATCAATATCCACCCAAAATATTTTCAAAAAGTCGTCAAGGGCTCTAAGAAACAGAGCAATGATCATACCGTTTTCGACGCATTTTTACCGGTTGAGCGGCGGCCGGGCCTGAACGCGGCCAGCGGCGCGGTAATGTTACCGTGTGGTTTATAGCCTTCTAATACTCGCCATTCTCCCGCTGACAGCGCGGCCGAGTGGATAAGATGCCAGTCTCATAATCCGAAGGCGGGTGGTTCGCTGCTGGTCAGCTACAAAGTTTTTCGCCCGAATTCGTTCCTAGGTAGCATTCGGCCAGCCGGCAACCGCCGAGAGGGATGCGAATGTTACATTTTAACGAGCTGGCGTACCGTTAGGGATCGACTCAGCAACAAAGCATTCTTACTCTCAGATCAATATACCGAAAGCTGGCCATCTAGGGTATGAGTAGGTACTAAATAGTGTATGGGCAGAGTAGGTATGGGCAGGGAGGGTATGGTTAGGTGACTGGTAGGATAGGGTAGTAGTTGGGTATGGGCCGGGTAGGGTATGGGCAGGGTAGGGTAATGGCAGTGTTAGAGTATGGGCAGGGCAGGGTATGGGCAGGGCAGAGTATGGTTAGGTGATGGGTAGGATAGGATAGAAGTTGGGTATGGGCAGGATAGGGTATGGGCAGGTAGGGTATGGGCAGGTAGGGTATGGGCAGGGTAGGGTATGGGTAAGGACCCAAATAATACAAGTAAAACGATTTTTAACCCAGCATAATGCATCCGTAAAACCAATTTAATCAAAACATAAAGTTATAGCGCAAAACATGCCATCTAGTTGTTTATGAAAGTCAGGATGCTCTTGATGAACCCAGTGGTGGATCCAGGGGAGTGCAAAAAGGGCAATTGGCCCTCCCAAACAGCAACATTCTAACATTACAACTATATACAGTGCATGGAAAGAACCATTAAATTGTTATTGTTTGCCCCTCCCAAAACTCTGAGTTGGATCTGCCAGTGGATGAACCCAAGTGCTTCTGCCTTCTGATATTGCAAAAGTGCCAGAAGACTATAGGGGAAATGGTAAATGACAAGAAATTTTATGTCAGCTACCTATCGATATGAGCAATGAGCACTGTGTCCTATTTTGCTGCAGGAGCTGCTGAAAACGTCCGTCGACATCGGCGATTTGCTGGGCATCCATCTGGTGATGTCACGGGTAGCAGCTCGTGGAGATGTCAAGGTAAGAACTCAAATGTCAAGGTTATAGCCATCAGTTTCTCGAGGCTTAGATTCTCGTTTGGTAATTGCCAACTGGGAAGGGTAGTCACATTATTGTACACAATTTACAATCGTTTTACATCGAACCGTTCTTTTTTGTAGTACCCTATGTGACGGATGTCATTTACAAGGAAAGTATAGTATTCAATTGGATATGTGATACATTTCACTCAAAATATAAGGTGTAGAACACGGCGATCTGGTTGTGACTTGTGAACATGGTCAAACTGATTGCCGGACGGGGTATCATCGCCGTGGTGAGGCGCCGTATACCCTGCAGTGCGCTACTCGATCCAATCATCCCCTCACTGTCCGCTGATGACCTCCCGCGGCGACCAGGTGCTGGTGGCTGGCGTCGGCTGGTCCACGGCCGAGCTCATCCTGACGCGCGTGCTGCCCCTCTGGGTCGGTGCGCGTGGCATCGAGTTCAGCTGGCGCTACCTCCAGATGAGCCTGGACGCCAACATCAGTCTGGTGAGAAATAGCGGTAGCCGATCAGTGGTTTTCTCGTTACAGGTGGTGGCTGCTGATTAAATGCATAGCCCGTAGCTACAATGCCTTTTATTCGGACTTTTACAGCGTATTTGCCCCATTCAACTCTCACATTCCATGTGAATGTTACGTCCAAGTTCCAACGATCGAGTCACACTCGTACAGTTTTATTTCTTGGCATTGTCTTGCACCGCCCGTATTTTCGTGTATAATCACTTCGTTACGTTTCCTGTACCCGCTCGTGGTGTTTCATGGTATGAGTGATCCCAGCTGACCTCTGTCCTTGTCAGTTGACCCCAGTCCCTGTGCGTGACTATCCCCAGTTGACCCGGTCCCTCTGCACGACTGTCCTCAGTTGACCGCGCCCCTCTCCGCGTTGCCAGGTGCACTACCTGTCCGTGTCGGCGCTGGTGTGGCTGTGGTCGCGGCACGACCTAGCCCGCTCGTTCCTGCCGCTCGTCGTGTCGCTGCTGGTGGTGTCGGTGCTGCAGCCGGTGCTGCTGCACCTGGCCGCCGCCGCCGGACTGGCCGCCTCGCTGCGGCTGCTGGCGCGTGCCGCCATGGACACTGTGGTGGCCGCCGTCACCCTGCAGCTCTTCTCCGGCCTCCTGCGTGAATCCTACTGAGGGGTACACGACAACGGCTCGCTCCTGCGAGACTCCTACTCGGGAGACACGCGGGAACGGCCGCTTCCTGCCAACTGCTGCTGAAGAGGTAGTAGGTACGCGACGACGGTCAACCGCGGTTTACGCACACCTTCGAAGCGAGATCTCCCAGTGCGCATGTGATGTCGCCGTTGTTGCCCAGAAAGCAGCAGTCTCGGAGATGGCCGTTTGAGCAGTTGGGTGCAGTCAGCATCAGCGGTGTGTGACTGAGAACATTGCTGAGACGGTAGGTACACGTACTTCAATATTTCCATGGCATTGCTATTTAACACCGGGCACGTCTACCGTCCAGCGATGGCTCTGTTGCTCACACGAGAAACCAAGGAAAGTCGAAGTCACCCTAACTGTATACGTGTGTGTTCCCGTAGAATCCCGTATATCCGAAAATGTATTCATTGTTATGTGTAAGAGTTTTTGTTCACCTACCGTTTCCGCTCACATTCAGACAAAAACTTGCCAAAGCAAGCATCCAGGTAATCCTGGCGATGACCGTGAACGAGAATTACAGTTGCTACCTTCACACAGCGTTTTGATACTTCTTCGATCAGTTAGTTTGCACATTTTACTAGTAAAGATATGAGGCGTATATGTACGTATTTGAGGTTCAGTGTCCGCATGAGCATTACGAATGGGATTTGGTGGGCCTTCGTCGCGAGTGTGAACGTCAGCGTCGTTTAATTGGGCGGTATAAAAGCAATATACGTTCGTTTTGTGCGCTATGGCTATCATTCTGGATAAGGCGAACGATGCTACTCTCTGTTCCGTCCAGGGCATCTACGGATGCGTAAACACAACCATTCGGAGCGTCATTCAAATCACATCCTGCAATAGCTGTGAATCACATCAAGCAATAACCATAAGTTAACAAATACCCGTTACGCATAAAATATATTCTGAATAAGGAAAACAAAATGCACAGGTTGGCCCGTCAACACAAGATAGTCCCGTCCCGGTGAGTTGGAAGGCTCTGGCTGATCACGAAGCGGCGGCGCCGTCCGTCTTTTCCTTGTACTTGACCACGCCCCTCTGGATCATCTCCGGAATCTCCACCGCCAGCCACGGCCCCAGCTGCGGAGAAAGGGCGGTCAGTAGGTCCTGTTATCCAGTAACAATCACAACTGGAACAATAATTGTGCTGCAACGATCGTTATCGACGTCAAAGGTTGATAAATAGGTATTTTTTGTATAACTTATGATACTGTACGGTTCACATTTCGAGATTCATTTCTATCGAAAGGAAGTCGCATATGTGAAGATCATGGGTGAACGTACGCTTGATCGTACGACAGGGATGCTGTCGTTTGAATCGGGAATGTGTTCCTCACCAATTCAACACAAATTATTTGCGTACTTTTCCCGTCCGCGTAATTGTTCAATGTTTTCAGTTGAAACTATTGCTTGAAACTACTTTTCCACGACAATTATCTATGTTTGCAGTTGCAGTTGCATAGCAGTTGAAACTGCTACGAGATGAACGACCGAGACAAGTGTGACTTACTCCGAGCGCCATGGCGTGGGCGATGCCAAACTTGGGCACGTTTCTGCCCCACAGGGGCTTGAAGTGATCGCTGAGGCAGATTTTCCCGCCTCGGTACATTTTGGCCGTCTTTCCGTCCAGCTCCGGTAGTGCGATCTCCGGCGACGTCGCCGGGTACGTCACAGGTATCTGAGGAGGGCAGACAGGACATTTTGAGTGCACCTGTCGAAACATTACTCCTTACACCAGGCAGTGTGTTGGGCACAGAGTTGTCAGACAGCGTGTTATCAATGAAATGCTAACCAAATTATAGATTATTAATTGAGTGGCAGGAAATAACTGCCTAAACAGAAAATCATGGAGAAAAGCAATGCAAATTCTATCATTGGGGAAAAGGCATGCATGCAGTTAATCATAACTTTATAATGCATTGTATTTGCATGGCAGCTGAGATACTTACATCAAACTCGACCTCAAATTCATACTTCAAGAGCTCATGGACGAACCAGCACTTCCCAAACCACCTGGTTCCTTCTTTGTTGGATTCTAGCCTAAACCAGTCATTATCTTGCTCCTTATTATTCTGTACATACTGAAATATAGATTGCAACAAGGTCAAAGGTCTCACAAAAATATTCCTTGCATGCAACAATCCTGCTTTGCATTACATTGTCAGTACCTAGGTACCTACTGTAATTTGAAATATAAGGATAAAAACAGCAGTTACATGCCTCAACATATTGTCAAAAAGCATTTTATGGAATTAATGCTATCTACACAATCATGCATAATATCCTAAAAAACAAAATATGGCATAGCATATGGCTTCATGTCGCATGACTTTCTCCAAAATTCCAGCTTGGCTTACCTTGATAAGTGCTTGATACTCTTCCTTTAAACGGGTTACCCAAAGGTCTTTATCCCTTGGGCCTGCTTTTGTTTTAAGGAGAGGAATCGCACTTAGCTCTTTCTTGGTATTTGCGTCCACCATCGTTATTTACTTGAAACAACACTCTCCAGCGTCACTGCGTCAGGATTTTCAAGTCAACTTCACCGTGAATATTATCAACACAAGGGTAGTATTCGATTTCATTCTCTTATGTGGTAGTGAAAGTGACTTTTTGTGTTTGATTCGTAAGTTTCTGCGAGCTTTGAAAATATTACGTCATCTAAAAGCTGCTTATGCTTTTCTGAACAGCCGTTGATGTATTCGTGGCTGTTTCATAAATGAATGTTGAGAGACAAAATCGGTGGTTGTGTTGTATCTTTCGCCTGCATGTTTATTAATCCCACCCAGAAATGACAAACAAAGCCTCTGATTGGCCAGTTTTGGCTGACAGACGCAGAATATTTGTCAGCAATAGAATACTATGCTTTAGCACGTTTTCAATAATGACTCATCCGTTACATTTACAGGTTAGGGCAGCTAAAATATTGTAATTGATCTAACATGTTGAATATAACACTTTTGGAAGCCCGTACAGATTGTTTCTAGTGAGTTAGGTGTTACAAAGTATTAAAAGAAATGATTGTTATCTGTTAAATAAAGAACAAAAGCTTTTAGCTACTAACATCCGCCTGACAGTCTCCAGAATCCTGCGTACGGGGACACCGCAGTCTCTGTTTCTTATGCTATCGCAATGGGGAAAAATTGAAATTTTAAATGAGTCAGTATCGTGTTAAGAAGTACTGATGCTTTCAAAACTAAATGCCTTTCAATTCAAATTCCAGAATATCCTTTCGCGGAAATAGCCCTTCTCAGCCTGTCTCTAACGCTACAAGTCTGAACAGTGAGCGTCTCATGCGTTGCTCACGTATCGCGATAAAAAGGACGGTGTCATATGATCAAATGAACTTTTCTTATGCATAGAGCATTTGAAACCTCACACCAAACGCCTCCCTTCCTTGTTTTCCACTGCTGCCTTTCACATACATTACCTAGTACCTACCCAATGACCGTTCCAGCTCGACGTTCCTTATCGACTGCCTCACATTCAACGGCCATGTCCCACCTACGCTGAAAACCAATCGGAGGCACTTTCAATCGTCCCTTGAATAAAATTGCTACCTACACGCATTTAGAGGAGAACGAGGCCCAGAAAAGGCGTGCATAAAACGATCGGTTTGGCCCCCATGGAATAAGCCAGGAGGTAAAATCATATTGATTGAAGAACATTTTCGAGGACATGATATCTATCAGATATTACTTTGCAAAGGTATTGTGAACATAACGTCCGCGTATCGCAGCTCTGAATCTGCTGGTGTCAGTCCCATGCAGCAGCCACCGGACCACTGCCCCGCCGCCTGCCGTTCGCTGATCATACAGGCCGGCTGTCCCAGTGTCTCATCAAACGATCACAGCTGACTCATTATTTATAAAATGCCAAACAAAAACAGACACCCAATATTATAGATCACGCCAGCTCTTTCAGTCATGCGCGTGGAGATATATCGGTAGTTTTCCTATCACAGATCACACTGAACAGAGGAAAAGCGTACACACGCAGCAATAAATAATGCATTATCAAGTACACCGATCGATGCATCGTGGAATACATCGAAAAAAAAAAATACATCACTGCTTTAACGTTCCCCAGGTGGGTGGGCCGTGGGGGCGTTTTTGGCCACACCTGACAATTTTGTGCTTGCATAGATAAAACGACACGAAACTTAGTATAGCTTATGTATAATGCATCGATTCGCATCAATTGTGAAAAAAGTAACCCCATGTCACCTAAGGTCAGGTCAGGTCACCATGAAGTAGAAGTTTGAAACTCGAGCTATTGCATGAGAGAATCAGTACCAACATCTTGAATATCTTTAATTTTGATATCGGTGGTGACCTAGGGTCAGGTCAACTTTGCGACGTCTCCAGTTTCAGTCAGTATGAGGAACTCGAAATCGAAATGTTCTGCTTTTGAAACAAAAGCACTCAAACATCGGGATCTATCGTATGCTCCTGAGGTCATCTCAGGTCATGTAACGCCTCCCAACAGTTTATTTTTGTACATCGATTTTAGATGGAACGTGGCCAGAGCGCTAAAAGCATCATAATCATAGGCGGCGGAACAGGCCGAGGGCACCGAGGCACCGTGCCCCCTTTGATTTTGGCATTTTAACATTAGCCCTATGGCCGTTGCATGGAAAGAATGAGACCAAAAGTCGGCAATGCCCCCTTAATTGAAGGTGTTCCGCCGCTACTGATGTTAATCTCAATTTCAATGTAACGAATCAATGACATGCAAAATGGCATTTTCTGCGACATTGACCTGAGGTCAAATTTATTAAGCTGACCTTGTTAGGCCAAGAAGACGAGAGAAACGCAGTGCCGGTAAAATCAACGTAATAAAAGGTTGGTATCAGTTTAAAAAATTTTTAAAGAAAAGACGACTTCCGAAGCAAGCCGATTGTTCAGTTTTTGCCCTTTGGAGGCTTAACCCTAGTTGACCTTAGCTCAAATCTGAGAACCTGAAAGATTTTCGAAAGAGCTATCGAATTCGCTTTTCCGCGGCGCTGCAGCTTCTTTGGTTCCCGAATTATGAACCAATTTGTGAAGTTGTCAAAATCGGGGGCCAAAATTCGTCATCATTTTACTTTTGGTGACCTCCAGTGACCTCAGCGATGACCTGATCAAAAATGACCTGTATGATTCTGAAGAAAAATAGCGGTCTATAGATTGATTTTACTGCGTCTTTCCAGCTCTGCTACATTCCAAGATAACCTGGTGTGGCCGAATACAACTCCCCCCCCCCCAAGTTGGCTGAGGGCCACCCGGGCGCGGGTTAATAACATGGCGCAACAGGTTTTGTTATCAACTTGTCCTTTTCACACATAGGCGACACTAGATATCACAGCCAACGCCTATCACCAAACTGGTGGTGGGCTTTGGCCAGCGATCGCCGATCGGGGCCAACACGGGCTCTTACTCGTCCACAATCAGCAAGAATGATGAACTACAGCTGCTCCAGACCGGCCACTTCAATCCAGCGTGTAATCTTCAGTCCACATCAGAACCACTAGTGAAACTCTACTGAGTGGGCCAACTGCACTGCATCTTTGACCTCCTTTGCAGCTCTGGCTTTTCAGAATTTGAACAGCCTTCTCTTTCCCACCCTTCTGTGCTGATGAATGATGATCCTTTGGAAACCTGGAAAAAGACAGTACAGACTCAGGGAGATGAAACTGTTTTGCTATGGGTCTGTTCCAGTCGCACTTCCTAACAGATCTAAACTCCTCAAAGAGCAAGATAGAGGAGGTTGGAGCAGGGCCCTTCTTGGCTTTGTAGGGGCGAAAGCTGCCACTGGAACAGGGAAGCAATCTTGGAGGAGTTAAGAGGTGTTAGGAAGTGCGACTGGAACAGACCCTATGACAATGTCTGTGCATAGAGCAAGCAGATGGTAGAAGTGGTCAATTGGTGAGTGGAACAAATGCAAATGTCAGGAAAGCAGTCATATTTTGTGATAGACATGATGCAGATGTTGGCCAAGCTGACAAGGCAGATATAATTACCAGCTTGTTATACTAGTCTATAACTCATCATATTTTCATGTTTAACAGAGGGAATATAATGTAAAAAGAGTCTTAGCCAGATGAAAGTAGATAATATAAGTTCTATAGAAAAATGTTTATGTAAGTAATGTAGGATTTGTGGTCTTTAGATGCTAGGTAAATGTGTTCCCTGTTCAACAATTCTTCAGCATTCAGACATTGATGTTAATGTACAATGTACATGCATCAACATACCTGTTGTGAAGTGATTCTGGGCTGCTTTCCTGAGCAGTTGATGGCCACCACTGGAATCTTAAAAACACAGCTAATTTTTTTCCATTTTGTTAACTATGACTGAGGATCTTCTGTGCTGAAAGAGAGATAGACAATAGACATCAGCTGATAGACATTGTACAATGTACAACTCATTTGTGAAACAAGATCAATTCCATTTAGGGGTAGGTCGTAGGATAATGGTGACATGAATGAATTTCAGTTTTCACTTTTCACCAGTCCAGGTACCTGGTGACAAAATGAAATATTGTAGGAGGTATCAATGATAATGTTTCTGGTAGAAAATGCAGGCATTTTAGAATTCAGTTGAAGCTTTAGATGGAGGATTTTTGGAAAATATTTGCCACAAATAACATTGGAATCTCAGAAACAAAAATCAAATCTTACTTGATGTCAAAAACAAATCAAACTAGCAGCCCAAAACAAGTTATTGAAAATATAAACACAGGTAACGTTACAACAAAACTGAGTCAAAACACTCAAAACTAAGTGTTTCAATGAACGCAAGATAAATGTGTGTCACAGAAGCAGCTGTCCACTGTAAAGCAGAGTGGGCACAGCATGGTGAAAGCAGGAAGTGGTGCACAAAACTGAATTAAGAAGAGTGCCCGACTAACTGTACCTACATCCCTTTACATGTAGGTACTTACAAAATTTGAGCACAATCAGCCAAAACTTAACTGTGAAGGAGGCCATGCCCACTCGCACATGAGAGGTGTGCAAAAACATGCCTGTAATACCTTATGCCTAGATACATAAAGATGAAAATGTGTTGTGTCTGTGTGCCTGGTTAGTGGCATGACGTGACATGACTATTATCATTACCTGACAGTACAATTATCATGATATTATCATTATTGCAATTGTAATAAATAATGATCAATTGAACTTTTCTTCTCACTTTATATAGCCAAAATACCTGAGATTTTTTTAATATCAAGTTTGCGTACTCCAAAATCGTAACTTCTGCTTCCTCCAGTACTTTATAAGTTTGCGCAAGACTATTATCCATTAGATGTAGGGACGATCATGACCACTTGACTAAAAAATGGTTCACTTGGTTCTTACAAGCCTGTTAACTCACTACACAAGGGGAGGGGGCACTGCAAAAGGGTGTGGAAATCGCCACATTTGTCTCATGATGTTTGATGCATAATAATCGGTATCAAAATATCGTCGTATTAGTATGCAAGGTCACCAAAGAATGAGCCAACGTTATTTATCAAATATCAAAGCAAATTGGCAATATCTAGCACAACGAAACACATAATTCAACACCTAACGATGCCAGCCGAGTCCCCGATGCCACCATGGCGACCGCTCAAGTCCAACTGGCAGTTGCAGTGTTGCCAGGTCGAGTGATGCCAATACCTCCAGAAAATGTTGTAAAAACCTCTAGAAACCTCTGTTCCATTGCCGCTTATTATAAAGTATATATACCTCCATACCTACCTCCGTATCACAAACCGTGGCGCTGTTTCAAAGCACGCTGCCATCCGCTGCTAGCGCGTGATGACATCATCAAGCCCATTGCTCCAACACTACCAAAGGGTCTGTTCCAGTCGCACTTCCTAACACCTCTAAACTCCTCCAAGATTGCTTCCCTGTTCCTGTGTCAGCTCTAGTACAAATCAAAGGAGGGCCCTGCTCCAACCTCCTCTATTTTGCCTTTGGAGAAGTTTTTTTTTAATTTAAATATTTTTTATACCTAAATTTAGTCCGAACCTTTAGATGGGAAGGATTCACAACGACAGAGCCACCGCTAAGCGAAGCTTGTTGCGATGACCCTGCCCTCTACCCTCCGATCGCGCAATTCCGATTCTATGGCAGAATTTAGAGTCCAAAGTTTAACGTGCTCACAAAGCCGCGCACGGCCGGTCCCCTCGCTGACTTCGCCTGGCTACGGCCTGCCACCAACCGCAACCATACCCTTGGAGGAGTTTAGAGGTGTTAGGAAGTGCGACTGGAACAGACCCAAAGTGTGACGTCAGCGCGCTGGCAGCAGCTGGCAGCGGGCTTGGAAACACCCGGTTGTATCCCCAATCAAGATAATTCACTCATCCTTCGCATGCCTTCGCATTTGTCCACATAACTTGGTGGAGTTGGTGCCCACCGTGGGCACCAGGTTTACATAGCCTTGGTGCCCACGGTATATTGAGAACTTTTTGCTGCAGCCGGCGGCCAGAGCCTCAATAGTGAACAAGCCAAAAGTAGGCTTATCGTTTCCATCAATCTGTAAAAAGTGTGTTTTTTAAGCATGCAATGCTTAAAAATAATAACATGAAATTAAGTACCTAAATAGTTCTCAAGAGACCTTGATGCTAATTGTCTTTTCTCGAATTTTCAGATTACCTCTAGAAAACCCTCTAGAATCCGGCATTTTTCAAAAACCTCCAGGAGCCCCGAAACGCTCCCCTAAAACCTCTAGATCTGGAGGTTTACCTCTAGACCTGGCAACACTGCGGCAACTGGCCAATCAGGGAGCTTGTTTGTCATTTCTGGGTGGGATTAAAAAACATGCCTTTCGCCTCGGCAGGTGGATTGGTGTGAGAGGAGATGGAAGATATTTAATTTGATTTTATCTTTTTTCGTGGAATAATGTGAGAAATATATTTTTCCAAACTTTCCAGCTGCATTGAGGGAAATAATGGCCGCCAGTTTGAGGGAAAAGCAAGTTGGTAAGTGACAATTCATCCTCTTGATGTCAATGTTGAGGCTTGAGACTTCAGAGCTGATTTTTGCATAATAGGCAACTTTTGATTAACATTAAAACAACTGGGTACTTCTTATAGGGTTGATGGTTTCATGATATTAAAATCTTGTAATCTTTCAGTTAATCACGAGGTGCTAGCCTCTAGGTACCCAGGTTCTGCCTATAGGCTGAAACAGATTTTGCAATCAGGAAATTGCATGCAAGAGCCTATTCAAGTGCACTTACTTGCTACTGCATCAATTTTATTGGGTAAGTGCATATATCATTGACATGAGCGTGATTTAATGTAGTTGAATAGGCTCTCGCAGTATTGCATACAATTTCCTGACTGCGGAAAGAGTGTGAAACCCCTTCACCTTACTCCTGATATTGATAGGTGAAGGAATATTTTGCAATACCTATTAAATGTGTTTCCAGTTCACTCATGATGCACTGTGCTAAGTTTCAGTCTGTGTGAACATGTTGACTAGTTCCCTGTATACCTACTTCTCAGATCCTACATTGACCATAAACTGTTGATGCATCTGTGAAGTGAAAAAAACTTGTCTTGCAGTGGCCATCAAGAAGATTTTAAATCTGAATGCACCTCTGGTGAATTCCTCCACAACAGAGCCTGTCTGGAAAGTACTGGTCTATGACAAATATGGTCAAGATGTCATCTCACCTGTTCTGGCTGTCAAGGAGCTTCGAGACCTGGGAGTCACATTGCACATGTGAGTGGCCTACATCAAAGTCACCAGAGAAGCACATTGAGTTGTTCTCTCCAGTGTACCGGCTGGCTTACCCACCCCTCCCCACCCTCACTCTGATCCCCCTCACCCCTGACAGGCCTCTGCATGCCGTCCGTAACACTGTGCCGGACGCGCCGGCCATCTATCTGTGTGTGCCGAGCGACGACAACCTGAGACGCATCTGCCAGGACCTGGCCGACAATGTGTACGACTCCTACTACTTCAACTTCCTGGCGCCGATCTCGCGTCAGAAGCTGGAGCTGCTGGCCACCGCCGCTCTGCAGGCAAACTGCGCAGCCTCCATAAAAAAGGTTACGGCGATTAACGAACTACGACGTTCTTATGAGGAATTCGAACAAAAATACTCAACGAAATAAAATAAATGCACCAACCTATTTGAACCACCTACACAATCCATTGAGTATGTGATCATTTTCTGGATCAATGTTATTTTTCCAACTTAACAGATGACCCTGAATACATTTGAATACCGGTTTATACACTGGGTTTTAGTTGAACACCACATTTTTGCCTGGTACTGTATTTCGCAGATTTATGTCGGTTGTAGTTACGGTATCTGCCGATCGCCAACTGAACGCACAGCCGGTCGTCCTCGATGGCTCTCCCTGACGTGATGACTGCCGTTCCCAGGTGTTTGACCAGTACGTCCACTTCATCTCACTGGAGAAGGATATGTTTGTGCTCAGACACCATGACAACGAGACGACGTCGTACTACGGTAAGCTGATACAGGAACCATCTACCGCTATATCTTGTCTTTTATCAACTGATTTTCCGAATATTGGTGAACACATGTATCCTTTCCAGCGCTAAATCGAGGTGACGTGAAAGATACCGAGATGGACGTCATGATCAACAGCATGGTGGACAGTTTGTTTGCTGTCTGCGTCACACTAGGTAAGCGTATCAAAACTAGATCGCCAACGAATCATGGTTCAACATGATAAACAATTGCCATTGCGACTGCAGCTTTCATCAATAGTATTCGTGCGATCCAGAGTGAGAACGACCTTCGCTGTCACGCGAGCGGTCAAGGCCGCTCCCGTGACAGTGCCCCTGTCGGCCGAGTACTGCAACTATGAACCATATGCATGTGATCCATTGACGCTACACTTATTTAAGAACTTATTCTCTTTATATGGGGTGATCATGTGATGACTATGAACACGTTTGTTGGCCCTGACCCCGTGTCCCCGACCCAGGCACGGTGCCAATTATCCGATGTCCGCGCAACAACGCCGCCGAGATGGTGGCCGAGCGGCTGGACCGCCGGCTGCGGGAGAACGTGCGTGACGCGCGCAGCTCGCTGTTCAGCGGCGAGACGCTGGCCGGCGGACAGTACGCCTTCCAGCGGCCGCTGCTGGTGGTGCTCGACCGAAACATGGACCTGGCCACGCCGCTGCACCACACGTGGACCTACCAGGTGCGGAGGCGAGGGCGTGGTAATTGCGGTGCTTCTAGTCGAACTCGGAACCATAGCTGTGATATTGAGTTTTTTCTCGTATAATATACCTCGACATCCTTGCGGTATTGAATGTGAAAACTTATACGGTACACATCTTTTTGTTGGCTTCACTAGTCGTAAACGGTCTTCTGGAAGAATCACACCGATATCGGCTGCTTCACTGTCGTGGCAACCTATGTATCCATGTTTCATGGATCCTCACATTGCCAGCCTCCAGTCATATCCGGTGTAACAAGTAACAACCCCATCTCAACTTAGCAACAATCTGACGGTCTTCCCCCGCTTTTGCCGCTCAGGCGCTGGCGCATGACGTGCTCGACCTGCGGCTGAACCGTGTCACCGTCGAGGAGACGGTCGGCGAGGACGAGCGGCGACAGACCAAGACCAAGACGTTCGACCTGGCGCCCACCGACGAGTTCTGGCAGCAGCACAAGGGCAGGTCAGTGATGAGTGGGTGCAGACGCTCCGTAGCAAAACCCACTTTATCTCATGTAACTTCACAAGTGTCGTGAAACCAAAGGCGGCGGAACGGGAAGGGCACCGGGGCACCGTGCCCCTTTTCATTTTGGCATTTTAACATTAGCCCTATGGGCGTTGCATGGAAAGAATGGGACCAAAAGTCGG